GTAAAATAATATTTGCAAAGCCCTACAAAACGCGTGTGGTCGTGAAGCCTACTTTAATATTAAAAAAAGATACTATCGTCTCTACTTTAGAAAGTCTGTGGAAAAAAGCATCGCCGAGCTCTTACAAATGCGGCCTGTGAAGCTTATATTAATAATATTAATACTATTGATATCGTCTTTACTCTGAAAAAGTGCTTGGAAAATAACATCCCAGAGCTCTTACAAAATACTGGTCTGTGAAGTCTACATAAATAATAATATATATCTCTATTTGTGAAGTGTGCAGAGCTCTTAGAAAATAAAGTGGTTAGTGTGCCCGATTTGCAGTACATACGACAGGTTTTGCGTAGCTAAATAAGTTTCTGCGCAGCTCGCCTGGCTGTTTGCAACCAATCGATGCCTTCCGTGTTCGGCAGAAATGTTTATCTTACGTCCAATCGCGAGGGCGAGAGACGGTCTGATCGTGCGACAGATCCAGTCAGTGTCGCAGGTCGGCAGGTATTGCCCAATTGCGTCACGCTTTTGGATATATTTGTAATTTTGGCATACTTAAGTCGAGTCAGAAAGGTAGGCGCGGTCGGTAAGATGGGACGAAAATATATTAGACAGGCCGGGTGTAGCCATGCGAAAAGGCAGGAAAAAGCAGCAAGAAAGGAACCGGACGGACTTATTGACAGACGGACGGACAGGCTGCAAGTTTAGGTGGCGGGAAACTAGCGCTCTGGGCGCCCGCTCAGCGGACGCTAGGGCATGGTTGGTTGGTGCTGGGAGGTTTGACCACCTCTGCTGCGCTGCGGTGTGCTTAGATTTTGTTTTAAAGCGAAGCTACATATAATATATGTACACAGTGATCTACTTATGTTACGGTCCAAAATCACACTGCACATAATATCCTTAGTGTTCACATATTATGGGAGACATGGCCCGGGTTTAACGTGATCTGCAAGATGAGCACCATCTTACCCGGGAAGGTTTGGGCTATAATCCCATTTGAGTGCATAGCTCCCCGAATGAGACGAATCGGAGGCGCGCGTGGTTGCAAATGTAATATACGCTGTTCGGAAGACGGGTCAGTATCAATGATACTACGCAATCCCAGTTTAGCTGAAGTAAACACGCCTATATCTTTGATTGCGACGGTCTATTAGAGCAAGGTTTGGTCCGTTCCTCGCGTGAAGTATCTTTTAGAACAGGTAGTTTTTGCCGATGGTCGCCAGAAACACTAATATTATGTCTTAAAATTGCTCCGCTGAGCTCTTTATGATATTACTAAAGGGTATTTCCACTACCTTTCACATGCGTTGATCTTACTTGTCTAGCTGGCGCACTTACTGACTTCTTTGCATAGCTACTGACTGACCGAGTGACGTAGATCCTTTCCGAGTGGCAAGCTCTAATATGTATGACGAATATGTGAAGCCATATCGATGTAGGCAGATTATCATGTTGTAGTGGTGTTTAGACTTGAATCGAATAGTAGCTCATGTACGTTAGATGCTGTAATCTCGCTACTACTTATCAGATCGGCGTGTTGTTTGATATATCCATGCATAACTTACTTCGTAAGCTCGTCGGCGCCACGCTCTCGTGGTAGCCAAAGCACATGGGGCCACTGTTGCTTTCTCGGTACATTTGCATCATGGTGCTGGCTTACTGTGCTTACGCTTCTAATGTATCAGACTATACGACCAGACCGGTCACTAACTGGGCACAGGCCATACCGCAGCGATATAGGCAAGCTGACCGCGCGTCTCTTAGCAGTAGTGCTTTATACGCGCTCGGCGGGTACACCTTGTAGCTATCCGCGACTCAACCGAGCTCATAGGTCGACCATTATAGACAGGACACTAAAATACAAAGCTGCATACAGGCACATCGACCTGCAACATCCACCTGTATGGTCTGCATTACCGCACACGTGCTCGTATCTACGTAGAAAGCAACGGTTTTGTCGCACGTAGTACTCACTTAATACTGTAGTTTCAATTTGCGAGCGCACATTAGTGGAATACGCGCTGTGAGCGTTGATAGTACATACAGCATGATTTAGCTTATGTCCCAATGAGTGAGTGTACTTGTCGTCTACGTGACGTGTATATGGATAGGAACGGCCAGCTTGCGGCTGCCCACAGTAGATACCATGTGCTAACTATCATATGAAACACGTAACGTTCTTTAGGTGTGTCAACACCCTTGGTAGCGCCACAGTCAGTTTACAGTATGTGCGCTCCCAAGCCTTGCGCTGCCCGCCGGTATACAAATTACAAAGATAAGCGGGGTTAAGGGTATATTTACCAATTACTTGCTCTTCTGCTGCTTCTTTTGCTCGATGTACTTGGCGTTTCGGGCGGTCAGCTTGCGAAGGCGGCTGCGCTTCTTTTTCCTCTTGGGATACCAGTCAGGGCCCATCGCCTTCATGGCGTTTGCCAGGCTTTCCTGGCGGCGCAATTCGGCCGAATCAGGTGGTGGGGGCTTTTCCTCCCAGAACTCAACCGCTTTTGGGCCGTTCTCGCAGGCAATACAGTGTCGAACGCTGCCCCGTCCGCTGATTGTACGGAACGCGTAGCCGTACTGCAGCTTCCCGCAGCAGACGCAGCGCGCTCGGGGGTCCATCGTAGACCGCTGCGGGTTCAGCAGAAGCGGGTCAATCTTCGCCTCGCATTGCTTGCACGTAGGGCCCACCATTTTGCAAACTGTGCGTATGTTAGCAAAATACTTTGTTTTAACCAATTACTTGCGTCCAAATATTAGCCAATAGCACGGTACTGTAAGGCTGGTTGTTATTATTAGGCAAAATATTAAAATGTTTTAAAATATTACTATTTGGCTTAGCTTTAATATATTATTATCAGATTTCCAAACAAATACATACTTTACATGCCATATAAACTGACTACAACAATTATCTATCGTGCGCGCATGCATTCGTCGGGTACGGTGCACGGGAGCAGATACCGCACTGACCGTGCAGCCGCGCGCCTTCATTGCACGGTGGCAGTGGTGAGTGCCAGGTGAAGCAAAAAGATATATATTCGCAAAGTCGCTACAAAAAGCGCTGGTCGTGAAGCCTACTTTAATATTAAAAAAAATACAATCGTCTCTACTTTAGAAAGTGTGTGGAAAATAGCATCGCCGAATGCGGTCTGTGAAGCTTATACTATTAATATCGTCTTTACTTTGAAAAGTGTGTGGAAAATAATATCCCAGAGCTCTTACAAAATACTGGTCTGTGAAGTCTAAATTAATAATAATAAATATCTCTATTTGCAGAGCTCTTAGAAAATAAATGGTTACTGTGCCCGATTTGCAGTACATACGACAGGTTTTGCGTAGCTAAATGTCAATAATCAATCATCAATGCAGCTCGCCAGGCTGTTTGCATCCAATCAATGTGTTTCGTTCTCAACAGAAATGTTTTACATCACGTCCAATCGCGAGGTCTGATCGTGCGACAGATCCAGTCAGTGTCGCAGGTCGGCAGGTATTGCCCAATCAGGGCGCGAGTTAATTTGTGTCACGCTTTTGGATATATTTTGTAATTTTTGGCATAGTTAGGTCGAGTCAGGAAAGGTAGGCACGGGTCGGTTACGATGGGAGGAAACCTGTATTAGACAGGCCGACTGTAGTCATGCTAAAAGGCAGGGCAAAAGCAGCAAGACGGGGAATGCGACGGACTGACGGAACGGACAGACCGACAGTTTACAAGGTTAGAAGCGGGGAGACTAAGTGCTCTGGGCGCCCGCTCCGCGGAACGCTAGGGGCATGGCTTGATTGGTGTAGAGAGGGTTGAACAACCTCCGCCGCCGCTGCGGTGGAGCTCCGAAACCCCTTACTCAAGCCAAA